GAAACACTTGGTCTTACAAATCTCTTATCCAACAAGTCATTCAACTGCTTCTTTAACTCTACCAATTCCGATACCGACATACGATACGGTGCCATCGAAATCGGTCTAGTACCCGGAACTAGATCAATAGAAAACTCAATCTCTCTCTCCGGCGGCACATCTTTAATATCTTCCGGAAACACTTCTGGAAATTCTCGCACTAAGAGAAACACCTCCAGTTCCACTTTACTCTCTACCGACAAGGATGCAAACAAACCAAACAACTGAGCTTCGTCTGCTAAAAGTTTCTTCAACTCTTTAGTGGATAGAAAACTCTCACTTCCATCATCTTCCAAATAAGGAAATCTTACCAACTTGTGATAGCAATTCAGATGAACCTTATTATATTGCAACCAATTCATACCTAGAATCACGTCCAAACCGTCCAACGGTAAACATACTAAATCCATAACGAAGCCTTTACCATATATGGTCAAAGGACAACTTATGCATACCAAAGAAGTAGTTACCGACCCCGAAGCGGGAGTCTCAATAACCATGCCACCACTCAAAGAAACCATGCACAAACCCAAATGCTTAGCACACTCAAGAGAAATGAACGAATGAGTCGCTCCAGTATCAATAATAGCAACTAAAGGCACATTATTAATAAAGCATGTACCTTTAATCAAATGATCCGCATTAGTAGTGTCTGCACCGGCTAATGCAAATACCTTTCCGCCCGCTGGAGCTTGCTTCGGTTTAGTATAATTGAGCTTAATGTGACCCACTTCGCCACAGTTGTAGCATTTCACCACATTCCTTCTACAATCCAAAGTGGCATGTCCAGGAATCCCACAGTTAGCACACTTCTCCACAGATTTTCCACAGTCAAAAGACTTGTGGCCCATTACGCCACACTTGAAACATTTAATCGCACTAGAACCTCCTCCGGGCTTCCTATCAAAGTTTTCCCTATGCTTGCCTTTATCAGCAGGCGTCACATAAGGTCCACTCCTCACCGGTTGCTTCCCTCTCTTCTCATTCAAACTCTTATAGTGAGTGGAACGAGCTTTACTATCTTCTTCAAAGATTCTACAGCATTCAGTCAAGTCCGAAAATTTCCTAATCCTCTGATAACCCATCGCTTGCTTGATCTCAGGGCGCAAGCCATTCTCATACTTAACACATTTGGAAAATTTCGCCGTCACCGCATCATAGTGAGGATGAAACTTCACTAACTTTGTGAACTTAGCCGTGTAGTCTATCACAGACATGTTGCCTTGCTTCAACTCCAGAAATTCCATTTCCTTTTTCCCCTTCACACTCTCTGGATAATACTTTCTCAAAAATTCGGTGCGAAATAGATTCCAAGTGATTTCCTCATCGTCTACTTCAAGAACTTGTCTCATACCAACCCACCAGTCATCGGCTTCCTCTCTCAGCATGTGAGTCCCAAGTCTCACCTTGTTGCCTTCAGCACAATTCATAACTCTAAAGATCCTCTCGATCTCCTTTAACCAAATCTGAGCACCGTCCGGGTCAAATCTTCCCTTGAATACCGGCGGTTGATTCTTTCTAATCTCATCGTTCGCATTCACATTCGGTGCGCCTTGCACCGCCCTAGCCATAGCCTCCAACGCCGCAGCCATAGCATTGTCATTACGACCAGCCATATTCTGAGGATTCCCAAACATAACAAGGTTAAACAACTGTTCAACCAACAAAACAACGAGACAGACACAACTGACTCCACACTGGCTCTGATACCACTTAATGTAACACCCCCTTTCTATACCCCCAAATAATTAAATAAATCATTTAGACACTTGATAAAAATTTCATCAGAGTTTAATTAATACATGATATAAAAGAGGTTTATCGCATTAACATGAAATTAAACACATACAACATATGCTCAAATAGATATGCAACAATGGGCAACTCACAACTAAGGAACATAGTCCTAAAACCCACATCTCAATATTTAGAATAAAAGCGGAAACATCTAAACATTGAATCAGTACATTCATATAAACATATATACATCATTCAGTTAATTCATGTGTACAAAATATTCATCATCAGATACATACGCAGATGTATCACAAAAGAATCAAAACAAATGTATCTCCAAAAGAGCCAAAGGCTTCCTAACTACCCATATGTTACATATCAGAGCCATCGACCAAAAATAATGAAGACCTGCTTCACAAAAAGGACCTCCAGCAATCCTACTCTTCAATGCCTCATAGGGCATTATAAAACAGCAGAAGGGTGAGAAACAATATCATAACAGTCAATACATATAATTATATATCTATATACATACATGGGATTTACACAATTCAAATTCTCACCACATCTCATCATAATTCATCATTATACATCACAATGCATATTCACAAAATCAAACATATTTATCAAATCATGCGTCTATACATACTCATCATTTTCCACATAAACATCTAGAATTATGTTCAATTCACTCAATGCATCATATAAAGATGACCAATGCAACTCATAGAGACCGACTCACGACTCTATGCAGATGCAAATGCGGTACCGACTTAATTCAGCAGATTCTCCAAGGAATCAAGTATTCAGCAGATTCTCCAAGGAATCAAATATTCATCAGATTCTCCAAGGAATCGAATATTCAGCAGATTCTCTGAGGAATCAAATACTCAGCAGATTCTCCAAGGAATCAAATATTACAGCAGATTCTCCAAGGAATCAACATCGCTAGAATGTGCATCATGATGCCTTTTATGCAAAATGACTCACAACATTTCTCTACATGCATACATATTCGCAAATATATCACTATGCATATTCATCTCATACAGGCACATACAATCTATGTACATTCTCAATATACTTATACTCCATAATATATATATATATATATATATATATATATATATATATATATATATATATATATATATATATATATATATATATATATATATATATATATATATATATATATATATATATATATATATATATATATATATATATATATATATATATATATATATATATATATATATATATATATATATATATATATATATATATATATATATATATATATATATATATATATATATATATATATATATATATATATATATATATATATATATATATATATATATATATATATATATATATATATATATATATATATATATATATATATATATATATATATATATATATACTCTTCATTTCGACACATACCATTCCATATAAGGCATATACTTTCACAATCAAAATTCCACATTCTAGGATTCACGCCTTGCGGCTACCCACAGTATAACGTACCACACGGCACACAAAACTATTCAATTCGATAAGGATTAAACATAACCGAACAAAGAGATCCGCATGGAAAGGAAAAACACAGAGAATAGGAAAATGCTGTCGCATTCGCCAACCTTCGCCTGGCGAAGCCTCTGGCGAACCTTCGCTACTTAGTTCGCCTGGCGAACTTGCCAGCGAAGACCACTGAGAGTAATTCTGGAATTACTCGCTAGCGCACTCGCCTGGCGAACCTTCGCCATTCTCATTCGCCTGACGAACTTGCCAGTGAAGACAGGGTGGATGCTTCTGACTTGGTTCGCTGTTGCTCGCTGGGCTTCGCCTGGCGAAGCTTCGCTGCCGTTCGCCTGGCGAACCTGCGAACTCAGAACTCCCATGGCTGTCCAAAAGCCCAAACTTCACAAACTGACCGATTCTAAAACCAAACTACCCCAGTAAGTTCAACCCAATAACACCCGACTATCCTACTCCATCCATTTCTCGATTCCAGCCGGTTAAAACTACATTTTACCGATTAAATCCTAATATTGTCCTAAGATGAAAATGAGTCGAAACTCTTCTCAATCCAACATCAAACAATCAAAAGCACACATAATCATACACATTAACAGTATAATAGAGTTTCACACCCTTACTCGAAAGCTTGGATGTTGATCCTTGATGAAATTCTAGGTTTTCCTCTTCTTTCTCCTCTTTCTCTTCTCTCTTCTTTCTTTCCCTTGTTTTTCCACTAATGTTTCTATCTATCTCCTTTTCTCTCTTATCTCATTCTATTTTCTTTCCTCTCCATTTCCTTCCAAACACTTACCAATTAATTCTCACACAATAATCCACTTAACACTTAATACTAAATGTCTAAAATACCCTTTACTCTATTTTCCCCGAAAACTCTCCGAATCGGTAAAATAGCACAATATTGAAATTAAACATATCAACACATAAATTCCACAATTAAAATACCAATTATCCAAATAAATAAAAAAGGACTCAATAAAATAATGGGAATTCAGAATTTGGGGCGTTACATCTTCGACACTACTTCAAACCACCAATGTTATCGAAAACGTCTCTATGTCATCCAATTTGTGGATTCAAGAATAACTAAGTCTCAAACATAAACGAGTCGAACTCACCGCATTTGTCTAAAAAGATAACATATTAAATTTGTGAGTTGATATCAAAAGTACTACTTAGTTATCTGCAAATTCGTGTCAAAATACTAAGCTAAAATTCTCAAACTAACAACCATATATCATCATTGTGTCAGTCCCGCTCTTAATTTGTTTTTTTTTTGGATAGTAGTCAACCATAATTTGTTTTTTTGTTTTGTTTGTAGTCTACCTTAATTCATAGCTCTCTTTTTATTTCTTTTAAATCTTTTCTCAACTTGGTTAATTTTTCAATTTGAAGTCATGTTATATGACACAAACAAAAAGCTAATAAAGAAAATAAGGAAAGACATGTTAAATAGGCGAAAGATATATTTTCGTACAACTTTTCTTAAGATAAATAATTATTCAACAAATCAATAACCATCCATAATAGATATTTAGTCATACGTTTATGGTGTAACAAACCCTAGTTCAGCATCCAAATCCATAACTTCCAATTCTTGTGCCTCCAACAAATCTTTTGCAGTAGCCATTTTTTCCTTGAGCCTCTGCATTTTCGACTCCAGAGCTCCCACATTAACCTTTATCTTTTCTGCCTCTTTCAATTTTCTTCAAATAGCTTTTCATCCCTAAAGCCGATTGAAAATGAGGCTCAAGCCATGTCAAATCGAAACCAAAGTGTTCAAGTTCCGCCCACAAAATATGAAGCTCCTTACCAGCAATGCCATCCATATCTCTAACCTTTTTAGTCTTAAGGAAATAAAGAACTCTGCCCAAAGCACTGAAGGCCCATTCCCTAAACTTAGGACTTCTTTCCTGCTGACACGCAATAAGTGAAGGGTGTAGAGAACATGCTTGCTCTAGTAATGGAACAAAATCTATTTCTACTTGTCCTAAACCCTTGAAATCCATAAGCTTTCCTGCATTTTGGCTTTGGCCTTCTTCTAGCTTCACATGTGTGGACTTACAAACATAAACTTCTGCTCCAACAATACAAGCATCCTTCAAAATAAAACCCTTTTTGGGATCATGAAGCTCATCCAAAGTAATGAAAGATTCAAAACCACACGATTCTACACCCTCTTTGAACCCATGGCTGTATTCTGGTAAATTCATGCACCAAAGGTAAATTTTGTTATGCAAAGATAAAAACGAAGGCAGCAGATCTATGAAAACGGAAGAAAAAAATCTGTCAATGTTAATTTCTAACCAACTACCTTCTGCAAATATTATGTTATCCAATTGATTCAACAAAGATAACCTAAATTTGACATCTCTACTCCATCCCTTAGACATATTAGCAGTTTCCACAACCTCTAAATAAATAGATAAGTAGTCCCCTGATCCATCCTCTCCCTTTGGGGACAGACCAATAATCCTAAACAAAAACCGAATCATATCAAAACACAAAAATGTGAAAAGCGTTTCATAGCCAATCCAATAAAATATATCATACCATTGATAGCCGCCTAAGACAAAAGGCTCCGAGAAAACCTCATCCGTGTTCAAACAAGAGAAGTTCTCAATCTTCCATGTATATTTTTCAATCTTCTCAATATTAGCCTGTTCATGCATATCTCCAAACTCTCTGCTACTACACAATGATCAATATTAGTAGTACTTATATATTTATTGACAGTCTTTTTTTTTTTTGTGTTGAGTAGTGAATATCAAAGGGATACATGCATATACAGTCATTTATTGACCATTTTTACTCAATTAATGCATTTAATTTATTTTAGTATTTCGTGACTATAAGGAAGTTCATGAATCCTTTTAATCTACCAAATAGAATCTCTTCATTCTTAAAGTAGAGCCACAGGAAAGTTCATGAATCTCTTCAATGCTACAAATTAGGAGTTCAAAACTGAGCCGAAAGTTCATGAATCTCTTCAATACTGCAAATTAGGAGTTCAAAACTGAACCGGTCCAATGCAAAATCACTAACTAAATCAAATTAAATAAAAAACTGTAAAGATTGCATTTTAATTCAGTTGTTCTTAGAGATCTGTATTTGTATTTTAGATTTTGAATTAAACTGAATAAAACCGCATTATCTTACAAAATATTACTACAAACTATTATACTTTTTAATTCTTTAGAGAATCATATTTTTTATTATATTTATTTTAATTTTTATATCAATATAGAATAAAATATTTTTTTATAAATTGTTATTATATTTATATTTGTTTAATTTTTTAATTTATAGACATATGAATAAAATTATAAAAGAAATTTAATTTACAATTTTTTTCATTCATTTATATATAAAATATTAATAATATTTAAAATAAATGCAATTTTATATATTTTTTTAAAATATATAAGTTGAGAGTGTTTTTTTGATGTTATGTAGTGAAAGAAGTAGAAGCCGTACAATTATATTACACATAAGAGAGAATATGAAAGGGATACATGCATATTCTGTATTTTTATTGGCCGGTTTTATTCAATTAATGCATTAAAATTATTTTAGTATTTGGTGACCATATGGAAGTTAAAATACCAATATTCAATTTTCTATGGTTCATGGATAAAAGTAACTTACCTAATGCATTTGAAGTGGTGTGAGGAATTTGAGGAAGAGAAAAGGACAATGTGTTACATTATCATTGTGCACTATTCCACAAAATGCATTTCACATCAGAGGGTGGAATAGATTTTTTCTATCGGGTGGTCTTCTGAGATAATGTAGAAGGTTAGGGTAAGTGTGTCACTTTTCATAGAATGAAAAACAGTTTATCATTATGTTCAGCAAGTGTAAGTGAAGGGATAACCCTTCTTTCCTGTATATAATATTAAAATTAAATTAAATTAATATATAATAATTATAAGACAATTTCTTAAGTATTCATTAGTTTTAGTTGGGTATCCCTATTCTAATGTTAATTGATTTAAAATTTTAATTTTTAGAAATAAAATAATATTAAGAAATGGTGTGACATTGAATATTCTCTTTTGATTAGAAAAATGTATTAGTATCCAACTAATTTAAAATGTAATCGAATATCCATTTAATTATAAAAGTATATTTTATATATATATATATATATATATATATATATATATATATATATATATATATATATATATATATATATATATATATATATATATATATATATATATATATATATATATATATATATATATATATATATATATATATATATATATATATACAATATAAACGTCATAATACATAAATTTTAAGCGTAATATGCATCAAATTAAATATAACTGTTCTGGCCTAGGCTCCGGCCTCACCTCGCGACCCAGTCTAATGATACACAATAAAAGTCCAATATGGTTTAAGTAGGCTGACCGAGCACGTGACACCTCGACGGGCAGGGCATGCTCTCGTCGAGCAGAACAGCGTGCCTCAGGACGCCCTCTGCGCTCTCCCCTTTGCGGGGAGGCGCTGCCAAACACTGTCCCTCGTCGGGAAGAACAGCCCTCCGCGGGCGGAATCCCTGTGCCGACGAGCAGGACATGGTGTCTCCCCTACGCCCTCGCGTGCTCCCTTCAGCTGGGAGAACAACACACCTTCGGGGAACCTCGCGAGCTCCCCTCCGCGGGGAGATCAACGTGCCATTCGTGTAACGCCCCGATTCTGAATTCCCATTTTTATTGAGTCCTTATTTGATTTATTTATGTAATTATTTTATTATGTGGAATTTGTGTGTTAATATGTTATATTTACATATTGAGCTATTTTTGTCGACTTTGTGAGTTTCGGGTAAAAATAGGTTGTAGGGTATTTTGGGCATTACTGATAATATTAAGTGGATATTTTGTGAGAATTAATTGATAAGTGTGTGGAAGGAATTTGGGAGGAAAGAAAATAGAATATGTGATATAGAGAGAAAAGAGAAAGATAGAAACATTAAGAAGAAAAACAAGAGAAAGAAAAGAGGAGAAGAGAAAAGAAGAGGAAAACCTAGAATCATCAAGAATCAACCTTAGCTTGCGATTAATCAGGTAAGGGTGAGAAGTTTTATCATCTTGATAATGTATGTAATCATGTATGTGCTAGATTGGATTTGTTGGATTGTTTTCTATGTTTCCATTTCTAGGTCGGAAGTTGGTTTAATCGGTAGAAACTGAGTTTTATCGGTTAGGATCTGGAATAGATGGTGTAGTTTAGTCGGGGGATGAGTGGGCTATGCTACTGGGACTAATTTGGATTTAATCGGCCGACGGTTGAGATTTTGGTGGTTTTGGAACAGTTGAGATTTTCTGGTTTCGCAGGTTCGCCAGGCGAGTGGCAGTGAGGTTTCGCCAGGCGAAGCCCAGCGAGTGGGCAGTGAACCTATGGCAGTGGCCAAGATCAGCCTTCGCTGGCAAGTTCGCCAGGCGAAGGTGGTAGCGAAGGGTTCGCCAGGCGAATCCCAGCGAACGTGGCAGCGAACCTATGGCAGTAGCTTCTGTTTGACTTCGCCAGACGAATGGCAGCGAGCCTTCGCTGGAGGGCTTCGCCAGGCGAAGGTTAGCGAACTTGACAGCATGTTTTCTTTTCTTGTGTTTCCTATTCGTGGGTTGGTTGTGTGGTTTGATTGCGATCATTCCTTATCTGATATGACTAATTATATGTTGTTATATGTGTTGTGGGTAGCTGTATGGCGTGAATCCTAGTTTGTGATTTGTGAGGTGAGAAATGTGGCCGTTTGGCAATTTTGTGTATTTACTTGAATTGAATAGAAATGCATGGCGAGATTGATTGTGAATGTTGTTGCACCCTAAAATTTGCTCAACCTTATTCACTTGGTTTATGTTTCAATATCATTAGCATTTGCATATAGAGTCATGTACATAGGTTACTCATCTGCATAGCATAAGCATAGCAAGCCATTCAACAGGGGTCCAATCATTATTATCATCTATAGAGGCCTATCAAGAGGTTATTATCCTAATTCTATCTCATTCAAGTCATCAGAAAAGAATTTGAGAGCAGAGAGTTCAGCAGATCAAGCCTTGAGTCTATCTCCTATCTGAGGGTATCTGAGGGTCAACAAGGGGGTTGTGAGCTGTGAATGGAAGGTGTTGCGGTGGAAATAGGATCACAAACTATTAATGAGTTTGAATCGCAATTCAATTCACAACCGCTCTTTGATTTATCCGAAGGAAAAGGTCAAAAGAGGGAAAACCTATTTTGCATCGTAAACACAATGCGAGGAAAGACCTAGGGTTCGGGGGTTGGTTAAATTTAGGGAAGGTATTAGCACCCTAAACTTCTGTAGTACTCTACAGGAACCTTTTGTTCAGATGTTTACTATTTGCTTTATTTATTTGCTTAAGGTATATGTACAAAGGGATTAAAAGTGAGAAAATAAACCTAAGGGGTTAATTCTAAGTTTACTCGGCAAGACATCGCATCTTGTGCCTACGTATCCTTACGGGAGTGGAATCAGAGTAATCGTAGTTCCCCTCAATAGGGAGGTTAGAAACTTCTTGACTGTGGTCAAGGTCTCAAGGGGAATAAACGCATCTTAAGGACACGCTTACGTGGAGTGTAGAAACTCCAAATCTCTACGTTGAAATGTTAAGTTGTAATTAGGGTTAAATTAGGTTAGGGATTTCGCGGCGGGAAAACCTAAAATGAGCGCGGCGGCTCTTTGACCTAATGCTATGGGTAAAATTGTAATCTTGCCTGCGACGAGGCATTTGTGAAAATTAGGGTTTGTGAGGTTATAAGGGTTTGAAGTTGAGGATTATTGACACAGCGGTCAAACGGCTAGACCTAATTCCTTCGGAGGAGTGAGATTATTGGTAAAGACGCGATAAACATACAATGGCAGAACATAAAGTGCGGAAAGATAAATGCGACAATTGTCTCGCAAAATTACATCCCATAAGCAGTTACAAATATGATAATTGAATATTTAAACTGAAAATAAAATCAATTGAACTTAGTCAGCTGCAAAAAACCAAAACAAACCGAGACTGTTATTATACGGGGTTAGACAAAAAATTAGACGGGAATGTTAGGAATTTAAGTAGAAAATTATAATTTTAACGAGACAAGAAAAAAGTTAGAAATTTGGATCTTAAAAATGAGGATGTTAGCGAAAAATTAATAAACAATGAAAATTAATATGCAAAGAAGATGACGATAATATACAAGTGATAATGGAATATGAAATAGCAACGATGATGTCAGATTATGTACAAATATAAAAATAAATACAAAAATAAATAAATAAATATTAGTGAACAGGTTCATGGATAATCAAGAATACTGTTAGGAATGAAGGATGAAAATTGGAGTTGACGATAATTAGAAGTTAAGTGATGAACGTTTTGAGACGATGAGAATTTAGGTAATAAGAAAAGAGTTAGAATGGAATTAGGTTTTTTTTTGTGAGATTTGGAAAAGTTAGAGTTTTTAATGTGATTAAGAAAAAGAAAATAGATTAAAAGTTAGAATTAAAAGTTAGCAAAAAATTAGAACTTCGAAATTTGGTTTTTAAAAAAAAAGGTTAGAAAATAAAAATAAAAGGTTAGATTTTAATTCAAAAAAAAGTTAATACTCTTGAAAAAAAACAAAAATAAGATTAGAAATTTTTTAAGAA